GCAGATATTGAAAGAATGACATAATGGCCAGAGATGAACCACAAAATATTATATCCTAAAAATTATCTCCCAGAAATTTATGGGTATGTCAGAATTATGGCTATCACTGGCATTTTTCAGTAACCAAAATTATCTAAGTCCAGTTGCTTAAAGAATCAGAGAATTATTAAGGTTGGAAAAGACCTCCAAGATCACCAAGTCCAACCTTTGAGCAAATTCCACCACGCCCACTAAACATATCACAATGTGCCATGTCTACTCATTTTTTGAACACTTCCAGGGATAGTGACTCCACCACTTCCCTGAGCAGCCTGTTCCAATGCTTAACCACTCTTTCAGTGAAGAAATTTTTCCTAATATCCAATCTAAACCTCCCCACTGCAACTTGAGACCATTTTCTCTTGTCCTGTCACCTGTTACCTGGGAGAAGAGCCCAACCCCCACCGCACCACAACCTTCTTTTCTCCAGGCTAAACAACCCTAGCTCCCTCAGGTGCTCCAACCCTTCCACCAGCTTTGTTGACTTTCTCTGGACATGCTTCAGCACCTCAATGTCCTTCTTGCAGTGAGGGGACCAAAACTGAACACTGGTGCAGCCTCGCCAATGCTGAGTACAGGAGGTAAGAGCTGTTTAATAGAATAAAAACATTCTGTAACTTAATGAACTTCTGCTTTTTGGGAAATCTAAGGCTGGCACATTCACTCTAGAAAAAATGCAAGTCAAACCAAGCATTTCAAACAAGCAAACAAGTGTGCACACACAGCCACAAAAATGGCATAATTTACTATTAAACAGATAGAAGAGAAGCAAAAGCTGTGTGTGAGCACATGCATTTGAGCATGCACACACGTATTAGTCCTCTCTCTTCTCCATACACTCTCTTCCATCCACAGACACATTCTATAGTATTTAGAGACTGCCATGGGCTGACCAGCAACCCAGACCAAGACCTCTCTGTTCCATGTATGCTCTGATGCTAGATGGGCAGAAGGCCACTGTTCTGAAAGTCTAAAACAAAGTAATTTCTTTTATTTTCTTTTCCCTTTGAGGCCAATATTTTAGCCCCTTCCAGGCACATCATTCATAATCGTTTAGAGTAATTACACAGATTATTTAATTTCTAACTTTTTATTTATTCAAGACACTGAGATACCATTTATACGTTTCAGGATGTCATGACCAGCTGAATGTCCTTGTGAATTCAATTAAAGTGCTTTATGTGTAAATTTGTCAGCACAGCTTTTTGGTTTTTGTCAGGTGACAGTAATATGGGGTCAGAGCATTCACAGGAATGAACTTATTCCTGTTACTTTAAATCTACAGTTTCTTGACCATTATACAGTCAAGTTCTGTGCAGAAGGTTTTAAGCAACTGGCATCCAGAGTCAGGTGTGAGAATACCATGAGCTGAACGCATCAGCAAGCACAGAGTATTAGCATAGCAATATACATGGTTAACACCTCTGTCAGACTGCAGCAAACCAGCCTCTAATAGCAGGCAGTCTTTGTCTCCTTTATGCAGCACAGCTTTTGTGTCATCATGCATTTAATCTTCTTTCCCTTTTAAGACCAGGTTCTCTGCAGAGATGGGAATGTGCACAGTGCAGGCAATGAGGATGTCTCACACCCAACAAGCACTGCTGCTGGGCACTTGGTGGTAGGCGTACCACAAAGAATTTGAAATCCCATTTAACATGTACTTTTTGACTGCATCAAACATAGGCTTCCTACTCCTCTCTTACAGGCCCTTATTAACCTGGTGTATCAGCTACTGTCACATTGTGTTACTCCTCCCTGTCTCTGCTTTGCTACTGTGACAGCTGCGTGACCACAGTTCTCCCACAGTCCTTTAAGTATTTTTCCTCGCCATATTTTATACATGGATTGTGCTTCTTGAGCTCATCCATAAGAATTGTACCACTTTCCCTTCCTCATTCTTGCAGAAGACCAATTTCCTGGATGGTATATGAAAGAAACCAACTGGGTTGGTCTAATAAGCCCCATACATATTAGGGTGAAGTATGGGGCACTCCATATTTGTCCTTCCGACGTGGTTTGACTAGTACAGGTAAAAAATTCAATTAGCAGAATGTACAGTCTTCACCAACGTGCAATAACATATCGATGTTTTTGGGCACTACTGAACCACAATGACAATTTAGATTCTACTCTGTAATGACTCATGGACAAACTGATCCCAGGAGCACACCTTAGGAAGATCTTTCAGATTAGGATCTTGTATTTTTCAGTGCAATTATGCCACACAGTTGGTGTAAGTATTCCTTTTCTTCTTGTTTAGTTGTCTTGCATTTGAAGCATTCCTTCAAACTAATCATGAGAAAATGTGATTGATTCTGTGATGCATCTAAAAATCCTACAGAACAGTAGGTAAAGATTACATAGGGAGACATTTTTGCTGGTTTTTATAAATACATACACATTTTTGTCTGCTGATGGCTCATTCTTTGACTTCATCTATTTGAGCCTAAATCCCAATTTGGTGACGGCTGACATTCCCCAAGAACTTATTCCCAAATGGATAGCACAAATTGGGTGGTTCATTTAAAATAAAGAATAAGATTAGTGTTTATCTCCTCAGTAAAGAAAATGTCTGAAAAAATTAAATTGTGCCCTGAATGATCTTTTATATTAGTACATTACTATGATGAGTTATTAGTATACACAGTATATTACTATGATGGGACAGACAAAAAATTGAACAAAAGGGTAGGTGTACTTGGCTCTGGATCTACCAGAATAGCTGTGAAATTAGTTCTCAAACCAATGCTAACAGGAGAAAAAGAAATAAGGATGTCTCTTGCTGTTGCTTAGTGGAAAGAATAGGAGGGAGTGGAAAGTAATTGTTTAGGACTCCTCCCTTTCAGTGTTGTTAAGTCCCCAGCTCACAGAGCACAGTTCTGCTCCAATCTGAAGCTGTATTTCCAAAACACTGTGATAGCAGGGAAGATAAAGGCTGACAAGTAGGTGTTGAATTTGTGCCTTATAAGATACACTCATCACTTACTAGACTGCACGCACAGGAATTTTAAGGGTATAAACTCCCAATTTTATTGCAGTGCGTAGCTGATGTTCAGTGTGAAAGATGGTTTCAAAGGCTGCCTGAAGCTTTAAGGTTAAGCTGATGTGGGGGTCCCTCTTCTGTGACTGGTTACTTGAAACTGAATCTCTACATTTTCATTATTTCCTTGCATACGAAAAGGGAAAAGAGTTAGTGTTACCATGCAATCTCACGTTTAACAAGAAAACTAAACAAGGCTTTAACATTTCCACTTAATATTTCCTCTGACAAGTTCATTTGTCTTGATTTTCTCATGAAGTTCTGTTATCTACTCTATGTAATAAATACATACAATTTTCTTCATGAGTGGATTGTAGCATACAGCAATTTCTCATTCTGGCATGCTCATAATAATTCTTCACAATAATTGTAAAGACACCAGAAATCAATCTTTCTCACTTTAACGCGAAACAGTGATTTAGGACAAGAACGGGAATTATTCACCTTCTTGTTATAGCTTAAAAACAAAACCCTTGAAGACGCATTGCATTAATACAACAAAATTTTATTATTTTTAAATTTTGTTTTACTCTAAAGAAGAAAAGGGTTTTAATTCTGGTGAGAGAGTTATAAGGAAGAAAAATAATTATAATATTTATTCAGAGAAATTTCTGAAACAAACTCAGGAGAGACTTTCAAGTTCATGCTCAGTTCTTCAACAATTTTCTTGCCATTTTATACTAGAAAGCTACATCTTCTCTGCTTTACACATACATGAACACCACTGCCATACAATGGCCAGATTATTCTCCATTTGCCATGTGATCAAGCACCATGGGTGGAAGCAGGACTCTTCTTGGCTCAGTCAATGTAAAAATTAAACCAGAAGAGAGATCCCAAGTCCAAAATCTATTAAGGAGATTCCTTAACAGAAAGTTAATAATCAAATGGGACAAGTGGGAGCACAAGTTGTGCACGCAGAAAGATGTCTTTAGCCCCTTACTGCAATATGGCCTGCAATGCTTCACTGTCATTTCATGCTGCTGCAACACAACTATGTACAGTACAAACACAGTTATTCATGCACTGCTCTGCCTCAGCTGTTTGTATGCAATGGTCACTCAACCATCTCCATTAGTTTCTATCTATAACAGTAAACCAAATAAAACCAATGCACAAAGAGTGATGAGCTAGGATCCACAACTGTTAAATACTGTATATAAAAATGGTTCACTCTTGAGGAGAAAAGGCAACACACAAAGAACCGTGTCTTGCAGAATATACCACCTAAGGAGTCTTTCTGCTGTGCTTTTTGCAACCGGACGTGTCTGTCTCGTATTGGCCTTTTTAGCCACCAGTGCACTTGTAACAAACGTGGGTAGAGCCCTCTCCCGATCTTTGTTCGCGAAGCCTAGCCATGACAATGATAAAAATGGTATAATATAGCATTAGTGACTTGCCTAGCAGTTCTAAGGAACTCAGCTTGAAAGAGCATACATACACATTAGATTTAAAAATTAGATCTCCAGTGAGTTTTCAACAGCAAAGACTTTTCACATATTTATGTAAAAGAAAGAAAATCTGAAATGCAAAAGCAGGCATTGCCTACTGTTGAAGAAAGCAAATCTGGTTCTACAATAGCAACAAAACCATTACTGTGAAGTACCAATGTTTGGCTAGTAAAGATGTCCAACAGAGAAGCATGAATGGCTTTGGAGGCACTTATAGGACCGACTGAAGAAAGACTACAAATATTGATTACAGAGACCTTTATCCTATATTTCTTACCATGCTACAGACTTTCTGTATCCTCTAAAGTAGATATTGGAGAAGAGGATCTCAGAGATACATGGTAAAGCCATGAAACAAAGACACTGTGGAACTGGATTACGTGGCAGCAGGAAGATGGGTGCAGGAAATAGTGAGCATTTGAAGGCAAGAAAGCCTTGGGCTTGCACTTTGACAAAGGACATTTTGTTTAAACAACTGAGAAGTACACTCTGCAGCTCAAGGCATTGCTTCCTATGAAACATACAGAACTGACATGGAGCGTTTAGTAAGCAAAACATTACACTGCTGTTAATTTTATACAATGTGCATAAATGGCATCTAGTGTTTTAAACAACATAGTATTTAGCAAAGATAATTAAATATATAATTTCCCCCTTTCTTTCCACAGTATTTAAAAGAAGCAGTACTTGTCAAATACTAAGCCAAATCTGAAAGTCAAAGGCCAAACCACTTGTATTATGGTGTTCTACAAGAAAACTTGCTAAGCAAAACGTTCCACAAATACTGTTATCCCATTTTGAACAACTCACTATGTAAAACATGCCTTGTCTTACTCATCTTTTATCCTTCAGAAGAAATCTTCCATAACACGAAAGTCAAACTACATGAAATCACAGATGGAATGGAATCGTTTCAGAAAACTGGTAAGCAGATACTACGGCTTACACAGTGGAGGGAGCATACCTCCCTCACTTAAACACAAATGTTGAAGAACAATATAGCACAGCAACCAAATTGGAGCTTATCACAGATGCAGATATGGAAATATTTTAGAGAATAAAGATCAGAACTATTAAATAATAACTATCAATACTCACCAGCTCCAAAATAATGTTAAAATCCTTAATCTTTCTTTCAGTAATGAGCATGCGTACTCATTCAAAAAAATAGCAATTATTTTATTTGTTTCAAAATCATGAGTTACGAGCATCCTGATAAAAGCATTGGAAGATTATTAGCTTATGCAACCACGTTTAGATTCTGGGGTGTTATTTGGATCTCTGAGGTTATCAATAGTGAAGGTTAAAACAGAAGCAAGTTAAAACAGAAAATACAGTATGACCTACAAGTTGAACACAAGAAGAATTTGTTGTGCATCCAATGTTAGGTAGAGACCAGAGAGGAACTATTAATCTGAAAAATCTGGCTATAAAATGAAGAGAAATTCAAATACAGAGAGCAATGTATTTTATATCAACTAGTTCATATCACTTACTGCAACCTGAGAACATCCATGAAGAAATCTTAGTAGATTTATTCAACAGTCATTGACATGTGCAAACTACTGCTTGCAGATAAAAACAGCCATACTTATTGTTATTAGTATGAACATTTGGCCTTATTTTTGATAGAAAGTCTGTTTTTCTGAAAAAACGTGTTTTTTCTGGAATTTATTCTCTATTACTTAGTTACACAGCAAGATCACAATCTTCTCTTTGTCTATAATGCCTTTGTTTGGTCATGAAACAAATATTAGATCCTGCATTAAAGCATTCTAAGTACAAGAATGCCAAATACTAGTCTGTCTGAACTAAGAGGGGAAAAAAAAACTTGAGCTCCTTAGATAGACCTCTGTCTAGTCTCATGCAGGAGACTGCTGACCTGAGTACCCAAGAAAGCAGAAGGAGCCAGGCCTCCAGCATGGTCCCTGGCACAATCTCAAACAGGACTGTTCCCAAATAGTGGTATGGCTGAGGCCACACTGCTGGCTGCAGGAAGGGCTTAGCATATAAACACAAGCTCTACTGTGGTACTTTCCCACACGCATCTTATTTACAAGTTATTCACCTAAAATGAGTTTAAAGGAATTGGTCCGTCAGTCTAACTACTTGATACCTTGCTAGCTCTTCCTCAACTGTGTGGGCAGCAGTCCATTAAGATGAATTTGATTCATGTTTCAACACCAATCTCTGGTTTATATTTCACATATCTGAAACAAGATAAGCCCAAGTAGCTGAAAAAACTACAATGATTAATTTTATTGATACAAAAACACATGCAGAATACTTTCCAAAGACAGTACTAAAACAGCAGGAAAATCCACAATTTTCCATGAAGGGGCATATACAGTAATTAATGAACTCAAAACACATTTATAACTCTCCTATTTTCTAAAGAGGTTGCAATCTAACTTTTCCAGCTTGTGCAATTTAAAAATAATTACTCTGTACATTTTAATTTATAAAGTGCAGGCAGGAAATTGCAAGGAGATCTAAACAAACAAAGAAATGAAACACAGATGAAACCTCAATAATCAGCTAACCCATCTATCTAAATCATCTATGCACTGCTGCAGTATGAACCACACCTCTATTCCTGCAAGAAAAGGTCTTACCTTTCCTTAAAACTTCTGAGATTACACAACTTTCCTGAGCAGTTTAGTCTATTGCTTTACTAAGTGCTTAGTTAGAAAGTTTTCCCCAAAGCATAGCCTAAATATTTGTGTGTGTGAAAATTAGGCCAATCACTATTGTTTATTTCCTTCATTCCCTGTCACCTCCTTGGGACAAATATTGAGAACCCTCTCTATAGCAACCTATTGCAGAGCACAAGGCTTAGGTACTTATTCCTACCATCACCTCTCTCTCCCTTCTCTTGCCTTCTTTCCTCCCTTCCTCCACCACTTCAAACTTTGCCTTACAGTATGCATCTACTAAATCTCTTCTTCTTTTATTAAACTTAGTGTTAAAGTGTTATGACAAAACAGCTTAAGCACGGCCAGATCTAAAACTTGGTATGACATTAATTTGCAACAGTTTGCCTATTTTTGTAGCTCAGCTCCATAAATGGGCTCTGAAAAATTCATATTCAACCTCTGGAAGAGTTATGGCACACATGCAATGCAACTGACGGAAGAAGTTCCACAGGCACAATCTGTCACTAGAACAGCCCAAACAACTGAAACAGGAAGGAGGCAGAAGAGCTTCTGAGCACACAAGCTCTTCTTCAGATCTGCATCAAAAACAACAAATCTCAAGGTAACATCAGGTCAGGAACAAGTACTCCACGTATAACGTCACGATGTTATTTTATCAGATATTCTGAACAAAATCAATGGTGAGAAGTGGAAGTAAATATGCATGCTCTCTACGCATCCCTAAGCCTGTATTAATGCACCATTTTTCTACAGGAACTTTTCTCAAATTGCCAGAAAATATAAAAGGAGACTACACAGAACAAATTAAACTTGTTTATGGGACTGTCCCATTTGGAGCAGAACTTGTGAAGTGCACAGCAAATAAGCTATGCAAGAGAAACTAAAGGAAGCTGGATCACTCGATTATGGACTGGGTGGGAAACAGCTTTTATCAACTAACTTTCCACAGACCCAAAAGTGTTGGGGGACAAGTAATTGAGATCAGTTCTTCATACTCAAGAATTAGAGTCAGCAGTGCCCTGTCAGCCAGGAGGGCCAACCGTGCCCTGGGGGGCATCAGGCAAAGTATCGTCAGTCGGGCGAGGGAGGGGATTTTTCTGCTCTACTCTGCACTGGGGCAGCCTCACCTTGAGAACTGTGGGCAGTTTTGAGCATCTCAGTACAAGAAAGATCTAAAGCTATTACAGACTGTCCAAAGGAGGGCTACAGAGATGGTGAAGGGTTTAGAGGGGAAAGCCATATGAGGAGAGGCTGAGGTCACTTGGTTTGTTCAGCCTGGAGAAGAGGAGACTGAGGGGAGACCTCATTGCAGTTATAATTTCCATGAGAGAGGAAGAGGAGGAGCAGGCACTGATCTCCACAGTGAACAGTGACAGAACCCAAGGGAATGGCCTGAAGTTGTGCCAGGGGAGGTTTAGGTTGGATATTAGAAAAAGGTTCTTCATCCAGAGGGTGGTTGGGTGCTGGAACAGGCTCCCCAGGAAAGTGGTCACAGCACCAAGCCTGACAGTGTTCAAGAAGCATTTGGATGATACTCTCAGGCACATGGTGTGACTCTTGGGGATGGTCCTATGGCTAAGAGTTGGATTCGATGATCCTTGTGGGTCCCTTTCAACTCAGGATATTCTACAAAACACGTGCTTTCAGCAGGACCAGACTGAAGCACAGCATTCTCCTTGATCCAGTGACTATAAGGTGCTACAGCTCAGTGCGCCATGACCATATTGTTATACAGCAAAGGATTTGAGTGTTACAATATGGTACCTGTAAGACGAAAGACAATATTCTCTGTAAGGACTGGGGAGTACAGATTATACAATGCAATTGTGCAAGATCGCAAAATAAAGACAGGAGCTTGTTCTCAGCAATTAGCAATTGAGGCAGCTGCTATTACAGAACATGGCTGAAAAGGCACGGCTGCAGAGGAAAGCTTCGTGAAACAGAAGCGGTGACTGCCTTGCAAGGGGAGCATGAAGTAAACAAAGGGCATGTCCATTCACACAACAATGTACGATATATGTCTCCATCCATGAATGGCTGCAGCCCTGTGGAAGTCAGCACAGCCCTATGATCCCCCTCAGCAGGCTGAACTTAGGGAAGATATTCTGCTTCTCTGACCTCCAGTAAGCTACAACATGCCACACTGATGTGCTGCCATAAGCTTTGGTGCCCCTTCTTCACTGTGCTCTGTTCATGCAATGTAGATACACCCTCAAATTCTAACAGCACTTTTTCTTCTGGTTTTCCTCACTATGACAATGACAGCTTAAGTGCTAACAGAATTTTAGTATTAGATACTAGTCAGCTATGTCCCTGTTTATTTAAAAAATGTGATATATTGGGCATTTTAAATTTTGGATTGACTATATGTGTGTGACGAAGAACAAAGATGAATTCAGCATTATTTGAATTCAATTGGGGATTATTCATTACTCAGAACAAGCAGAACCAGTAACTCTGCTTGAAGAACTGGAATTACTGGTTCATCAAAAAAAGTTCTTTATTATTCTTTCTTCTGTCACTATCACTTGATATGCTTCTACAACAATACTGCATCCTACCTGAGCATTTCCAAGGGGAGTTTACAGTTACTTCATTCCTCATCATTATTTTTGGTACAACTCCATCTTATGCCTGACTGCATAAAAGAGAATAGCACTTCATTTCAGTAAGCTGCCTTTCTCTGACAATTTTTAACATGCCACAGGAAAGTGGGTGCCAATCTTTTTAAGAAAAACTCAATATAATTGAGTTGATTGAAAATCACAAGTGAAATATTGTTCCTAGAGACATCTTCTATTCTTGGCTAACAGTATTGATTTGCTCTTCCTAAATACTAGTTTATATTTAACCATTGTACTCAATATCACCTATGTTCTTCCATACTTGTAATTTCAGAAAGCAATTAGCTATTCCTTCACTAACAGAACTCCCATGGTCTAAATGCAGTAAAATTCACAGTGTTTCTTAAGTAGGTTGTCACGTTTTCTATGGAAATTATTAAATTGAAAGCTAGCAGTGATATATGTAAATGCTACTGTGGGCATGACTAATCCACCGTCCACACAATGGTTCAGAAGAACGAAGACCGAAACTTCTATTTTGTCACTTTCTTCCTAATGGCACCTTACACAAAGACGAAGAATAAATTGTTCTGGCAAACTTGCTCCCATATTTTCCCTTTTATGAGGGCTGTGCAGAACCTCCCTCCTCCTGTCTGAAAGGATGCCACAATGCACCCCTACGACAGGCAGAGGTGCGAGCCCTGTGCGTCAGACACAGGGGAGAGCTGAGAACATCCATCTCCGTAGCCGCATGACAGGGGTACAGCCAACTAGGGCAGGAAGGGCCATGGGCCAGTCGCACCTTAGGGACAGCCCTGTAACCTGTAACCTTGTAACATGACCTGTGTGTAACAAAGTGTGCAGGTGTGTGTCCAGTCTCTGATGCGGTGACACTGTCCTGCTCCCAGCAGTGCAGTCACAAGCCTTGAAGGCCTGAAGACAGCCCACCACTGATGTACTCACTATTCACAACGATGCTGTAAAGTACTCACTAACTTGTGTGTGAAGTGTTTCACTCTGTGTATGAAGTATTTTAGTTTAGAAAAGACCTTTACGATGACCAAGTCCACCACTACACCATGTCCCTAATGCCACATCTACATGTCTTTTAAATATCTCCGGAGATGGTGAATCAACCACTTCCCTGGGCAGCTTCTTCCAATGCTTTGACAACCATTTTGGTAAAGAAATATTTCCCAATATCCAGTCTAAACTTTCCCTGGCTCAATTTGAGGTCGTTTTCTCTTAACCTGTTGCTTGTTACTTGAGAGAAGAGACTGCCCCCCAGCTGGATACAACCTCCTGTCAGGTAGGTGTAGAGAGTGATAAGGTCTCCCCTAAGACTCCTTTTCTCCAAGTTAAACAGCCACAGCTCCCTCAGCCGCTCCTCATAGGACTTGTGCTCCAGACCCTTCACCAGTTCTGTCACCCTTCCCTGGACACTCTCCAGATCCTGAATATCTTTCTTGTAGTGAGGGACCAAGAACTGAGCACAAGATTCAAGGTGTGGCTTCACCAGTGCCAAGTACAGGGGAACAATCCCCTCCCTGGTCCTGCTGGCCACACTACTCTTGATAAAAGCCACGATGCCACTGGCCTACTTGGCCACCTGGACACACTGCCGGCTCGTGTTCAGTCGGCTGTCGACCAGCACTCCCAGGTTCTTTCCCATTCAGCAGCTTTCTATTCTGTCCCCATCCTGTAGCATTCCATGAGGTTGTTCTGACTGAAGCACGGGAACCAGCATTTCACCTTGTTGAATCTCACACAATTGGCCTCAGCCCATCAATCCAGCCTGTCCAGATCCCTCTGCAGAGCCTTCCTGCCTTCCAGCAGATCAAGTCCTGCCCAATTTGGTGCAAACTGACTGAGGGTGCACACGATCTCATTCATATAATTGATAAATATATTAAACAGGACTAGCCCCAATCATAAGCCCTGGAGAATACCACTAGTAACCAGCCACCAGCTGTATGTAGCACCATTCACCACGACTCTCTGGGCCAAGCCATCCGGCCACATTTTTTTACCCCACAAACAGTACACCCATTCAAAGCATGAGCTTTCAGTTTCTCCAGGAGAACATTGCGGGAAACCATATCAAAGGCTTTACAGTCTAGGTAGACAACATCATAGACTTTCCCTCATCCACTAGGTGGAAGAGGCTTAGAAATTCATCAGTGTGTTTTGATTAAAAGATTTACTTATTTCTGAAAATTCTAAAACAACTGAAAAAAATCATAGGTTTCCCATTAAGTGTTTTCTCCTGACTGAGTTTAACAGAAAATATTTCTAACCTGTAGAAATTCTTGCTGGAAAATATCTAAATAATAGCAAGGCTTGAGTAGACGTGAACTAAAATTACTTCTTTACCAATTCAAATTAACTACTATATGTCTTAAACAATTCTATGATCACGGCTTTTGGGCATCTCAAGCAATTGAGAAAAAAGAGAATGTTGCATCTTCTTTGTTTTCTTATAACTGTTTTAGAAGTCTAATATTTGTCGAGTTAAGTAAAATGAGTTTTGGTTCTTCAAGAAACTTTCATACTTCCATAAAAAGAGGTGGGAGAGACAAGTCACAAAATGTGAAATTTTGTGGAAATTACCACAGTACATAAGTGTACATAGAAAAATAATTTTAATTTATGCACCTGCTAAATGAATTAAACACTTTGTTTTCACAGGGCATAAAAACCGGCCTCCTTTCTCAGCCTTTCCTCTTCAGCTAATCAGCCATGTACTTCAAAGTGACAGCTCTTTGCAGTGTGTGGAAAGACAAAATATATTTCCAATTTCAACAACTGCAAATTTAAAAAAAAAAAAGTTGCACTGAGATCTTCTCTAGTGTCACATGAGATTCTCTCTCTTTCTCACTTAGGTTGACGGCTGACGCAGTAGGTGCATAATGTAAGCATCCACTTCCTTATATTGTGCTTCTCTTTTTCTTTGGAGAGGTCCTTGCCAGCACCTATGGTAAAGAAGCCTGAAAGATTTTACTTTCTCTGCTTTCTTCTGTTCTTTCCTCAGTAGTGGTATCTCCTTGATCACAAGTTTATTCCAGATATACCTAAACCAGTTTCTCCCTGGAGGTTCAGTGCTGATGTACTGTGCCTGTTGACTATGTTTAAATTATTTTTGTTCAGAGCTTTGTGGAGAAGGTGGCAAATAAATAAAGTTACTTCTCTGTAGTGGTTTGAACCAGGTTTTCCCCCTGAAACTAAGAAAGTGGTAACCCCCAGGGGGTGGTGACCCTTGGGGCTTGACCAATCAGTGCTCCTGCAAAATATAAACATATCTCTGGAGACCGAAAAGGAAGCAGTGGTACTTTGGTGAGAAGAAGAGGTGGCCATGTTGTAGAGGCCACGAGGAGAAGGGGCTCCGGCCCCTTAGGGGCCTCTGCCCCCCCCAGCCCCCAGTTGGGGGGCTGCAGGGACTTGGAACAGTGTTAGTTGGACTGAGTGCCTGTGGCTAGGAGCTGGGAGAGTTTTCTCCCCTGTAAGCAGAAGTGGGAGACGCTGGGAGCAACGACGGAGCAGCAGCGGAGACAGCAGCGTCCGAAGAGCAGTGGCAAAGAGCCAACTGATAAGGACCAAAAGGAGCAGCAGAAGCCGGTATGCAGCTAAGACAGACACAGAGGTGTCTGAGGAGAAGGAAAAGCAGCAACAAGACAAGAGACCCGAGCCAGCAGCAGGAACAGAGTTTCGCGGGGTAAGAACTGGATAAACCAAAACCCCCAAACTCGCTAGAAACCCCTCCGAGAAAGAGGAGGGGGTGGTGGACTGAGAGGAGTCCTAAAGTGCAGTATGCACTGCTGAGAGGAGCTAAGAAGCTCATGGCCTCCTGAGAGCTCAGCCAGGACGGCCGAAGGAATGTGTGTGTGTGGGGGGTGACCTTGGCCCCCCCTGCTCCAGCTTCAGAGAAGCTGGCAGCCATCTTTGAGGCAGAGCATGGGAGCTCTGCACAGGGGCTTGATTTCCCCTGAGGATACCAGACCGTCACGGAGACCCCGGTGCTTCGTGATATGACCATGGTGTAGCGGCCGTGTCTGGGGTTACGCAGCCCATGGAAAGACCCCTTGTTTGGAGACGGGGGCCGAGAGAGACTTGGAACCCTCCCTCGTGTGTGCTGGCAGAGAGCCAGCAACTGTTTCTGGTGGAAGAGAAGAAGAGAGCCTGCTGCCTAGAGAGGAAGACCTGCTGCTCACAGACTGGAAGGGGTCTTTTCTTCTTCTTCTCTCCTGGACTTTTATTTGGAGGGAGAAGAGATTTGGCCCATTGTAAATATTATTGTCATGGTAGAGATAGATATAGAGTTAAGATTGTTTGTAATGTATTATAGTATTTATTCACGTGTATAGTCTTTGTAATATATTCCTTCCCCCATATTGAGTCTCGTGTTTTTGTCTGGAAAACCCATCTCACATGGGGTTGAGATGTGGGAGGGGGGCTAGAAATCAGAATTGGATTTTGGGCCTTGTTAAAACCATGACATTCTCTTTCCCATTTGGTTGAGAGAACAATACTTAAAACTTCATTTATTTCCTTTCCACAGGTTGAACGTGGTATTTTGAATTTCAATATTGTCTGGGGAGAGGAATGAGGAAGTTATGTCTGTTGTTAATATGCCCTTGAGTCTATCTACCATGTCTTAGGTTAAGAAGGCTAACTCACTGCAAACCTAGTTAGGTCTTCTTTCCTCTGTCAGAAGCTTAAGCAGATACAAAACTGAAGTAACTTTATAGACTTATCTATTTCTTAATTTAAAAAAATTATACATTTGTATATAATACTAGTAAATGGGTATAAAATAGCCTCTGTAAATATTATCTATCAAGTATAAATTTAAGCTCATTATGCAGCAAACCCATGCTGGTTTTGTTGCATTAGTCTAAACTCCTGCCAGTATTTAATGAGGTAATTTACTTGTTTATCTATCTGTCATGGTTTAAAGGAAATTAAAATTTATCTCATCCACAGCAAGAAAGTATCTGTCTATATTCAGAAACTGCTTCTCTTGGCCACCTCAGCTTGTTCAGGAATTTCTTCTAATTTTTCAGCTCATGAACATATTCACAGCTTTCTTTTCCACTTCATGCTTCTTCTACCTCCATGTTCCGCTTTTTCCCCCATCCAAGTCTCTTGATTGCCTCAACAGTTGTTATCCCTTCTCTTCATCTCAGTGCCACCAGATTTTAAAGGAAAAATAGAGGATTAGCTACTTACAGCTGTGTCATTGTTCATTCTAGCTGTATTAAGTCTTTATAATCTCCTCTTCTTGCTAAACTCTTCTACTTAAGACTATGATATTTATTATCTCCGTGCATAGGCTAGAACAACAGAGTGCATTATTAACTAGCCCATGTGTAGCTATGTCATCAGCACTATGGTATATGTGTATTTTATGTACAGAGCCCACATTGCATATACACACATAGATGTGAATAAACACACATAAGAGATACTATACTAGGCAGCTCAATAGATTTTAAGAATCAGAATTCACAATTAATTGATCCTAGCTTACTTATACCTTTATTCTCTACATACCAATGACAGTACATTAATATATTCACAGCATGTTAACAGGAACAGCTGTTAAATAATAAATGCCTTTCTGTATTATTTTCAGTGAGTGCTTCAGCAATTAAACTCTGGTTGCCTAATTTCCAGCTCAGTTAGGAAAAATAACTGTATCTTATGCAACCAAGTAAAATACTAGGCATTACCCAAAGAATAACAGAAACATCAAGATATCCACTGTAGAGAATCACTGCTCTCTGTGAGGAAATGTGTCATCTGGCTTTTCCCTGCTTATCATTGCAAGAGCTCAAAAAGCAGCTTTTAGCAGAATAATCTAGGAGCCTTTGCTGCAGATATCATTGGATGTTTTGCCTCAGCTGGTGTCAGCAGTTCAGTTCTTCCTCCATCCCACCACTGGCTCAAGGCAGACACTACTTCCCCTCTTTCAGATATAGTTATTTGGGAGCCACAGCACAGGTCAGTTGGAAACCCAATGCAAATCAACACAAAAATCCCTCTTGTATTTCTGTTTTATTAAAATCAATGCACCCTCAGGCAGCAGAACTAATAGGTCTATGCCAGGGAAGTAGAGACAACCAGTGGGCAGTGGCACAAGAAGGGCAGGGACCATGAAGTGACAGACTCTCAGAACAGTCTGCAGGATCACTAGATCAGATGTACATCAAATCACATGCTATAGCTAACTCTCCAAATATCCATCACCAACTTGGAGTAATGTTCACCAAAAGCAAATCTTCAAAAACACGCAAGAATCAACAATCTTGCACATTTCAAATTTTAAAGTAACTCTTAGCCAAACTGCCTAAAATTAAGAGAAATTCATATTTGAGAAAAAAAACCCCTACATTTCATTTGGTCTGCCTCTCATTTCCGAAACTTTGATTACAGAAGCTACCAAGCATAAAAAAAAACCCCAACAGCTACTATCCAGCTTTTCCACTTGCAAGGTATCCTGACTACCTTAATCTACCCAAACAATTGTGCCATTAGAAAAAAACTATCTAAAAATATGGTTAGGACTGCAAACATCCCTGTGAAATGTTTTTATTATCACCATAGTAAGTCTGATTTATATTTTTAATTTTATATTTGATCAATCATGTTTCTTAAATGCATTGTACCTCTTCAGTACTCATTTACATTTAAGAAGAAAAGAAAGAACTATCATCTTCCACAGACTTTCTTGTTTGAAAAATAGTTATTTTAACTATTAAAGCTGCCAGCAACTTAATAAAATAGTACATATAGTAGACTGCAGTATTACCTTGTTCCAGCTTGAAGTGTATTCACACGATTTACATCCGGACAATACCATACAACCTGACGCATTATTCTGAATAAGATAACTATTTTATCTCTCCACAACAAGACCAAAACGCATGAAATAATAATTACCCACAGAAATTATTTCCCCAATAATTGTGCAGAAATTTCAGCCTTATAACGATTTTAGTTTCATTTCAAAAAGAAATGTTAATTTAACATTAAAGAAACATTAAAAATAACTGGCTAGGGTTTTTTTGTGCATGTACTAGCTTTTCAAACAATCAGACTCTCCTACTGAAATGCAAAAGCTTAGCACACATCTGTTAGGACTGCATTCATTAAAGTCAGCTATCAATCAGTCACAGTAGAACTTTCCTTAAAAATATGAAATGTGATTTGCATAGAGCCCTGCTCACTGTTACTGAGCGCTAGTTAACGAATCACCGCTTTCGTTTCAAGCTACAGTACCTCATGAAGTACTGTCATTACTTAAAGCACGAGAATATTTGGAATTCATTACATTTTCCTACTTTGTGCTACATATGTGAGGGTGGTGAGGCACCAGAACAGGTTGCCCAGAGAAGCTGTGGATGCCCCATCCCTGAAGTGTTCAAGGTCAGGTTGGATGGGGCTTTGAACAACGTGGTCTAGTGGAAAGTGTCCCTGCCCATGGCAGGGGGGTTGGAACTAGATGATCTTGAAGGTCCCTTCCAACCCAAACCATTCCATTATTCTATGATATACCATGCACCAATCCTGTAAATGCAAACTTCGATTTTTCTACACAGTTCCTTAGTAATCCTGAGGATTTCCACTAATATTTTTATATTGACAAGGAACTATCTGACTGAGGTTGTAACCAGCAAAATTAGAAGTCTGGATAGACTTACTGCATTATCAAACA